AAAAAAAAAAAAAAAAAAAAGGAAGTATAAAATCCGTTGACTTGGCCGAGAAAGGGAAATAAAACATCAGCTGATAGCAAACAAAGGTTACCAAGGAAACCAAGGAATGGAACTTTCATAAAAGCAGTTTAGTGGAAAACAGCGTAAGTAGGGCACTTACGTTAATTACCGTTTATAAGTAAACGGTAAATGCGATTTAACCGAAAATCTATACAGTTCTTCATCAGATCAAAATGGACAAAATTACAAAGTTTGAGACAGCTAATGTAAATCTAACGATAGTTATCGTGAATGAAAGAATTGCTGACATAGATCCGGTAACTATTATAGATGGGATGGGATGGGATAATTGGAAATTACACCACGGATTGTGCAAAATACTGCAAAAATGGTGCCTCATAGAGAATTGTTGCTATATGACTTTAGATTAGCAACCATTTGAGAGTTAAATGCATTAAAAAACTGGAAATCCATCCTGGTACACATTTCCACAGTGGGGAGGAATTTTCCAGGAGTGTGGGGGGGATCCTTTTGTGTTTGTCAACCAGTGAGGACAAGTTCAGGGAGAATTTAGTCATGTGATTGGTCAGTTTTGTGAGTCATCCCCTTAGTCATGCCAATGGAGGATGTAATTATGGAGAAGCTAAAGGCATCTCTTGAGCTGCTGACACTAAGTCGTCAAATTCTAGATGAATCCATCCTTTATCGGGACTGCAAAAAGGATAACGTACAAAACCGACCAATCACATGACTCATTCTCTTCAACCTTGTCTTACCCATGGGCCAAAAACGAAATTTTAACAATCAGACTAGATGTGCTGATTAATTTTGATTCCTTAAACTGGAGGTGATGGAGCACATCTTTCATCAGTAACTCCCGGTAGAAAACCTAACCTTGCTTTTCAACAACAAAGCATCTTCTCATCGAAGTTCTGAAGTTGATATCATCAGAAACTGGGTCTTGCCGACAAACTAATCAATGAATCTTTCAATGAGGGGTAAAAATTGCATCCTAAGCTAGTTTTTATCAGTAAACCAACGGATCATTTGAGGGAACACCTCCCTCAAAACACTCGGACGTACCAGTCGCTCACACGAACGGAATTAAGATCGCATCGACGGTAGTGCAAGCTATCTACATTACTTGAAAGATAAAAGGAGACGCTGGTGCATTTTTAACGATGTGCCAAAATTTTCAGAAATCAAGGAGTTGTCGAATTGAAATATTGCAGCATCCCGGCTTCGGCGAACGGCAACAAAGTGGCGCGACGCCGCTTCGCGTATCCACCGCCACGGGCATTATATCGAGTGGATTAGGATGAAAATGCAAAATAAATATGTTCATAAGACGGTAAAACTTACCAAGCTTGTTTCATCTTGAGGCTTGGGGCGTAAATTCAATAAACTTAATAAAAATAATTCATCCCAGGACACTCGGTGCAGTCGGTGCTGTTAGCTACATGGAAAACGGTTACACAAAACAAAAACATTAAATTTCAATGAGCAGTTGCAGTACTGCCGTCATGGAGAACGTCAAAATTTGCAGCGCGCGGTTTGCATCTTGCATCGCCCAATACTCAGCCATCATCTGATCTCGCCGGATCTCCCGCCCTTTTCTATCCGCGATTTGGCTCAAAAATGCTATTATGGAGGAATTCAACCCTTTTCATTCTTGTTACGAAAGGCTAATACAGTTTTTCTAAAGAATTTCCGCGGATTTTCTTCAGTCGCCGGACGGGACCCGAGTAATTGCTGGAGTGTGGCGCGCCTTCAATCCGGCTGACAGCAACATGCTTACACCCGTGGTCGAATAGTCGTATCACTGCGCCTGCCGTGAGTGAGTTCAAATATCCATTCCTGCACGCGTAAGAGAGCGTTTTTAGCTCCGACTGCAACGTTGCAGACCTCAACTACTGTCTTATTTTTAATCATTCTTCTTACGAAAGGCAAATACAGTTTTTCTAAAGAATTTCCGCGGATTTTCTTCAGTCGCCGGAAATTTTGACGCAGTATTTTCGCTCGTTTCATACCTCATTTTCAAAAAATGAATTTAATAAACCCGATCCAAGATTCTGAATCGTTACAATTCAGGGATATACTTTCACTCAAATTGTGGTAAACACGGGACAGAGAGTCAAGGATAATGACGTGCAGTCCTCCCTTTGCGGCGATTTTAGCGGCGCGCCAGCCAGGGAGATCGCAACCAAGGTAGATTTACACAGGTATGGAAAAGTTGAAAATTTCCCATGAGCCTCAGTACGTGTCACATGACCTCGTGACGTAGGTTAAGGGGCCCGTTTTTAAATTAAATTACAATCAAATTAACATTCAAACCAAAGACATAAAGACGGAGCACTAAAAGCAAAAAATGAAGCTTCTAGAGCTTCTTTTCAATCACCTCTACTATTGGCTAGAGGATTGGCGGCGAAATCGGGACAAGTTTGAATTCAAATGTAGGGCGGGAACTAATAAATAAAATTGCGGAAACAAAGTATTTTAGGTTGATTTTTGCCCAAATTCAGGTACACACTCATATTTTATTAACTTTAGGTTAGTTTCGGTCCGTCGTCGACCGACTGATTTCATTTGGGAGTAACGTAGATCTAGAACTGTAACGGCCTGTTTGAACCTGCAGAACCACCATAAGCAGAAGAAAAACTAACTTTATCTGAGATTACTGCCTGTTACCGAGCAAAAGTAGGTGTAATATATTAGGACGCAGACCGAACTTTCTTAATATAATCGTTTTAAGCATTTAAAACACGTTTCGAAGAAGAAATAAGGAAAAATCAAGAGGACAAGTTCAAATCAAATTTCCGTTTGCCGCCATGGATTCCCGCGCTCATTTACACACTCACACAAACGCGCAGCGCCGAACCTAGCTTCACTTTTTCCCCGTGCTTTTAGATACGAGCACTCCGTCTTTATGTCTTTGATTCAAACGTTTGTGCGTTTAAACGCTAAAATTAATATAGCATAACCAAAATTGTGCAAAAAATCCCACAAAATTTTGACAAACGATAAACCGAACATAATAAATCAAAATAATCAAAACATCCAAAATGGCTGACGTTAAGGGGCCGCTGGAGAGCCAATCAGAGGCCAGTTGTTTAGTTCTGTCCATACCTGTGTAAATCTACCTTGGATCGCAACTTGACTGAAGTGGGGAGTGGGCTACAGAGTTACCTACAAAGTTGATGTCCAATGTTCTCGGAACAGGTAGTGTTCTGAAAGATCCGGAACCTTCATAATCCAGCGGAATTTGTTCCGGGATCAATGTTTACCGTTAATTAATTAAATTAATTATTTAATCCATTTTGGAAACAAATCATCCATTTTTTTAAGAGAAAAAGAAAATCAAATCGTCCGTTTTGACGGATTATATTTATTGAGGATGGATATCGAAGACCATCCTCTGAAAATTTCGAGAAAATCCAAAGGGGAAATTTCATGCGATGTTGTTGAATTGCTCCATCATCCATAATTCGCGAGTCGCGTAAATTCAGGGCAGGCTCTCAGGTTTTCAAGTTTTCATTCGTGCATCCCCTTTCACGCATAAGATATTGAGTATGCACACCCAGAATCATCCTTGGAAAATTTCGATAAAATCCATGGGGGAAACCTCAAACAATGTTGCCGCATCCATTGCCAATACGAGACAAGTCGCGTAAATTCGGAGCAGGCTCTGTCGTTTCATCAATTTCATTTGTTTATCCTATTTGACAGGATTATATTTATGGAGGATGGACATCGAAGACCATCCTCTGAAAATTTCGAGAAAATCCAAAGGGGAAATGTCATGCAATGTTGCTGAATCGCTCCATCATCCATAATTCGCGAGTCGCGTAAATTCAGGGCAGGCTCTGAGGTTTACAATATTTCATTTTTTCATCCCCTTTGACACATAAGATATTGAGTATGCACACCGAGAATCATCCTTCGGAAATTCCGAGAATATCCAAGGGGGAAATCTCTAGGAATGTTGTCGCATTGCTGCATCATCCATAATTCGCGAGACGCGTAAATTCGGAGCAGGACTGTCGTTTCATTAATTGCATTTGTTCATCCAATTTGAAAGATTTTACATATATTGAGTATGGACACCCAGAATCATCATCAGAAAATTTCGAGAAAAACAAAGGGGGGTATCACGAGCAATGTTGCCGTTTCCATTATGATGCATGATGATTCTTGAATTGGCCGCCAAGAATTTTTTTTTATCTTTATTTCAGCTAAATTTTTCTTGATACATGAATGAAAATATTGAATTAAGCATATATATAGTTTGTAGTAACCAGATTATGATCAGAATTCTTGATTCAAGAGAAAATACTTCTTGGCAGCAAATTTGACATTTTTTTTTTTCTTCCAGTGATTATTTACTGGGACGTAGCCCCTTAGTAATTCAAAATCTACGAAACTTCATCTCTCTTGTGTGAAGAGGTTAAGATTTTAGTAATCTATTTTAAATACTGCAAAACGTTCATGGTTTAAAATTAATGAGTTTCTCACTCATGGTCACTCTTATTTTTCAACCAATGTTCGTCGTTGTTGAAAATTGAATGTCTCTTTTTACAATGTTGATGATTTCTTGTCACATTGCCTGTATTACTTACGATAAGCTAAGGAACATTATTTCTTGACATTTTTGCTGGTTATCCTGCATCATGTGCAGAATATTTGGTAAAATTGTGAATAATTCACTGATTTTCATTGTAAGGAAAAAATTTAAATGAAAATGAAACATCATCAGCTCTTCTTGAAACATTCCAAATGAGGAAAGTGTTTCGAGACTTTCGCCATAAAGCCATCTCAAGACAATCAGATTCAGAAAATAGGGAGAAATAAAAAATTTGTGGCCTTCAGGAGCAAAATGCGACTATTATTAGTCAATAAATGACTGGAAGAAATTTAAAACACACATGAAAAAATATTTCACTCACTAATATTAGTCATGAGAAAAAATGGTGTATGGAAAAAGAGATGTTGATAAATAGACATAAGGTAGTAGAAAAAAGAAAATTTATTTAAGTTCTTGAAAACAAAACAAAAAATCAGTAATTCCCTGTTGACTTGCTAACGTAATGATATTTCAAGGGAATACAAGTACAAAATATGGGTTGAACATGCTAAAGAAAGGCTCAGGTGAAATTCGCCATATTTGCTTTGTTAGTCTAAGAACGAGATTGTTTACATGAGCGCATGAAATTTATTCAAGTTTCCGAAAATAGGAATAAAAATCAGCATTACTCTGTTGACTCACTAACGTAATGATATTTCAAGGGGATACAAGTACAAAATAAGGGTTGAACATGCTAAAGAAAGGCTCAGGTGAAATTTGCCATATTTGCACTGTTAGTCTCAGAACGAGCTTGTTTACATGAGCGCATGAAATTTATTCAAGTTTCCGAAAATAGGAACAAAAATCAGTGTTACACTAGCAACTCAATGACGCATTTAAACACTAATAACTGAATATTAAAATTAGCAAGTAAACAAAATGACCATTAAATTTAAAATATATATATATATATATATATATATATTGTTTAAAAAGGGCAGTAAGAGAGAAGTAAAACAGTTTTGCGCAGCGTCAATTCAGTCTAAAAGTAATCATTGAGGAACAAAAATAGTTGGCATTTTCTTTCGAGACCTGAGTTCTAGCATAGAGAAAAAAAAGGAGGTGTTTGCATTTCGGGCATCTTGGAATATTTTGATGACTTGATGACGTAGCTGGGTACAGGGACGTCCCCTTCACACTGTACCCACCTACGTCATCAAGTAATCAAAAAATTCCAAGATGCCCGAAATGCAAACACCTCCTTTTTTTTCCCTATGGAGTTCTAGGCTGCCTGCTTCAAACATCTGAAAACATGAGAAAAGAAAAAATCATAAACTGTCAAATAAGTGGTACAGCAGAGCAAGTTCCGGTTATAAAAGTAGTAGTCATTCGATCAGACAGGGTTGCCACAAAAATTGGAAAATGAAATTCCCTGACATTTCCCTGTTACATTTTGGTGAAATTCCCTATCAATTGAAGATATGGCAAATGGCTAAGAGAACATAATTGAAAATAGTGTTTGGGCAAAATTTGTAGTTTGAGACCTCAAACCCAGTTTAGAAAGCAAATAAAGAAGATTTAACTTCCCTGACATTTCCCTTTACTTCCCCTTTTCCTTGACTTTATGAAATTCCCGGACTGTGGCAACCCTGCCCCTTATGAGGTGTTGCCAAGTTATGTAACCCATAATTCTAAGTTTCATAATTCATCTTTTCTGGCATTTATCATTTCGTAATTGAGTCATGTCGTGCGAAAGTCTGTAATGTATATTTTCCCAGCTTTTAGTTTTCTTGTGCTTAGAATAATTTTCAAGATTTGACACCACCATCAAAGTGTAAAACGAGTACATTCATCATTAAATTCAACTCTCGAATGTTTATCAACTCAAAAAAACTCAAGACTGGAAGAATGGACATGAGCGGCCTCTGCATAAAACGATTGAAATTTGTATAGCTCATGATAAGCCAAGGATTAAAAACAAACATCACTGGTCAAGAGGACCACACACCTTGAGATCGAAAAAAGTAATTCTATTATTACCAACCGCTGCCTCACCAAAAGTTTTTTTTCTTTCTTCCTACAAAGAACATACGTGTCTCTTATGCCATTCACTGTCATCTGCCGATTTCTAGTTGGATGAAGTTTTCTGTATTCACAAGTCCACTGGACAATGAACTGCTTTACCGGTACACTCTTTGAAGAAACTCAATAATCTTCCATTACTTTTAATCCTCCTTCAGCTTTGGCTTCAAAACATCACCTTAGTGGAATGCAAATAGTCTCGGACTTCATTAACGTTTTGAAAACTTGACTTAATTATATCAGGCCAAGGCTTATACCCTTTATTAATGGGAGATCTTCGTATTTAATTTGCCATTTTCCCCTCGAAAGCTCCTCTTATCTCAATTTCAAGGATATGAAGGTGGAATGAACATGCATGAAATCTCTCTTCAAAATTTTCTGGAGGATAATACCATCATCATTAAATTTACACAAGTTTCGTACCTAATCCTCATTGGCAACTGTTTCGTGACCACAAGCTCCACATTTCCAATTGACAAGTTCTCACTTCCGAAAATTTGTAACTGTAGCATCCGTTTCATCTCACCGCATTATTTCGAAACATATCTCAGTTGACAAATACGAAAAGTGTCCTCAGTATCAGAAAATTTAACAAAACAAAAATAATAAACAGCTAGGTCATTGCACTATTGAAAAACTTTTTAAGCAGATTTTCTCGAGGAACTTTTTAAATCTTGTCCTCATAGACCATACTTGAGAAGATGGATAAAAACAAAATTTGTAAAAAAGCTGATTATCTTGAATGACTAACCTGAAGGAGGAGTAAAATCTTAAGGAAAAACCCTTCACTTCCAAGAATGATTTAGTACATATACAATTTTTAAGTGTACTGGCAAAAAATTGAAAACTCACCTAGTTATCAGGCTTGTCGCAAGAGCTGCATCCCGTATAATCTACTGCATCTGTGAATGAAAAAAAAACATCCAAGTTAACTAATCAGGGAATTTCGTACAGTTCAGTACATAAGTGTGATTTCGAAATCACAAATTTGAAAAACAGTAAACGTCAGTCAATGATTATATTTCACTGTCGACACAACTACATATATCTATCATCATACTTTTCTAGTCAATGTTTCCGGCTTGTGATAACATAACGAGCACCTAATGAGTAGAGTTTGTTTCATTTTGAACCTCAGCATCGAGTATTCGAAAGTAAAAGATTGTCTACCGAAAATTTTATTTCAGAGAAAATCCCTAATTGAAGATTGAACACCATGTACTTCCTCCATTACTTAAACTGCGCCTAAACTCTAATTCCTTTGTGACTTGCTGAACCTTTGAAAAGGGGTACGGAAAACAGCAGATGGCTGCCCTGTGCGGGTTTCTAACATATTTTTTTTCTTTGTTTTCTTTGTTTGAAAACATGCACAAGTTATTTTATTGGCAAGAGACTTTCTGCTGCTGAGATGATATGTTCCTTATTATTTAAGTTTTTTTTTCAACATGAATGGTAATTGAGAGGGGTGGGTTTGTAACTAAAAACATGTCGCCTTTCTCATTTTAAACAGAAAAATTAGAGTACTGAAGTCTTTGTCCATTAGTTGCCAACGCATAGATGATGCAGGGGTAGAGATGACAACTATACAGTGGATCAGGGTTATATGTTCCCCCATAAACATGAAAACTTTGTAAAATTCGCATTCCATTCTCTCTCTATGATCTTTAGTTCAGTTCTATTGTACAGAAACATGTATAAGCTATATTCATTTTATTGGATACGCCATCTTGCGAGGATTCAGAAATCTTGTACTCCTGAAAATGGGCTTAATGGCACTAATGCCTGTTTACCAAAAAAATCCTTAATAAATTTGTTGTCACTTCTGATATCCAAGTTTCCTCTTTGCTCTTCATTTACCGGCAAAAATGTAATTCTCCCCTGAATTCATTCAAGCAAGCATGAGACACTACAGCCTGATTGTTAAAGCTTTATCAGGCTTTGTCAGCAGGCTAACACATGATAATCTTTTAACTGATCGATTTTTTAAGTCTTTTTGTGCTGACATAAGCATCAATAATCAGGCTACTGGTCGACAGACACTTCGGATCGCCTAAAATTTGTCACTGATTCTAGGTGGGCTTTTCGCAATGATGTTGAAAAGGTGCATTTGACAATCACCTACTTCCAATTGGGGAAAGAAAAGAAGACACATATGTCACATCCGAGAATCACACAATTCAACATAAATTTAGATGGTAAAAATAATAACTGATCCACTCAGGTTGATGCGATAATTGGCTCTTCTTTCCTTTCCCCTGTCCTCCATTATTTACTCAGTTCCCAAACAACTGAATTTCCTGTGGTAAACTGCGATTTTTTTTGGAGTACATGCAAAATTTGATTTTTCCAAGCATACCTTGAGGATCCGGAAAACCCAGCGTAATTTTCGAGATCAGCCCTAAAAATACACCTAGAAAATTACATTCCTTCTTGTGACAACTTTTTTCTCTTTTTGATACAACCAATGTGAGCTTGGTTCATCTAGAAGATACGCTATCAGAGACTTGCAATTGGTCTACTGTCGTCTGAAAATTCTGTGTTTCTGCAACCCATCAACAATTTGGATCTAAACAAATACACGTTGAAATTAAATAATGTGCCCTTCTTTCCTTTATTCATCTGATAAAATAGTGATAAAATCTGTATTTTTATGGCTGCCTAGTTCCGATGTTGTAAATACTTTCACTTACCAGTTCTCGATGTGTCTGCGGATGGCGGCTCCTCTTCGGAACTGATTGTTATTTCTCCTGCAACACGAATTTTCAATAGTATAATTAAAAGAAGAAACCTTTACTAAAAGAATTACAGTAACCCCTAAAAACAGTAATCCTGTTTAACAACATAACCTCATTTGGTACGGAGTGTACACTCATGAAAAAGGATTGCCGAAACACACGCAGCTCTTCCTGGACCAACTTTGAAAAAAACTTTGATTTTCCGCTACTTTGAACAACTTTTCTCAGATAAAATTTGATTAGATGAAAAACAAAAAGGGGTGAAATTCCCAAAATACTGATCAATTTTGATAACAAGTTCGAAAACTTAGATAATGGATTTGTTGGAAGTAAAAATTCTTCGTCTCAATTGCCAAACCTAATTCTGGAACCAACGCCTGCTTAAAATTACAATTTTTCTTGTTATTTTTCCTTCCAGAAGACAATGGACAAGATCAATTGGACACAGTCCAATAACAATGGCTTAGGAGACTGTGCAAACAATTGAACTTAATTATTAGCTGCAAATCTACTGCATCATTTATTTTTTTTTCCTCCTATACATATTTATTTTGAAGGTCAAGTATAACCCTATTTTCGGTTTCCTTACAGAACAGAGTGATTTCTTAATCCTCTGAAAGCACCTGAAGGAGACTAATATTTAACCCCCTCTGAAAATGCTCAAAGGTTCCTTGACAAAAATGCCACAAGATGGAGGAGCTGTCCTGCTTCATTGAACTCATATAAAGAAACTTCACTTCAATTTTCCTCTTGAAGTAATGGTCTGGCAAAACTCCTTGTAGTTTTAAAATTAAAATGTTATCCCTGCAACTGCTAAATAGTGTTAATTTTCTGACAGAGGAATGTTGATTCTACAGTTCCTCTTACGAGAGAATAAATTAAAGACATTCTCTTTTCCCTTTTAGAAAACAGACGTGCATCATTCCCTAACAGCAACGATGAGGAGGGCACCTGACTTATCAAAGTTCTTCCCCTGTTGCCAACTATGATTGCTTATCGTGACAATTCACGGTGGAAAATGCCACCAATCAAAAAAGTAGACGTTGAACTGTCTTTCTTAAATACCCCTCAAACATGTATCATTGTCTGGTTCTCAGAAAATATCAAGAGAGGGAGAGAAAATGAGGTTCTAAGCTAAGTTATGGCAGCCTTTGTGCTATGGATAGTCTAGATGTATTGAGTCTTTCCTTACCTTCCCTCAAGTACATCATAAACGTTGACAAATTGCCAGCCTCTTTAACTGAAATTTTTCTTTTGAACTGCTGTGAATTGGACCTACTACATTCCAACATATGAAAATAGGAATATGAAGTGCACATCCTATTCCACTTGTAATTTTTTTTCGACTGTAACCATTACAACTTTACTTATGTACGAGGGTCGTTCCAAATAAAAGTATCTTTTTGCCGTAACTTCTTAACTACTGCATGAAATAAAGGTCTGAAAAAAACTCTTCATTGGTCATGATGTCCCCTTTCTTGCAAGGTTTTATTTTTCCTTTAAAATTTGGTTCAGCAGAATGTCAAAAAAGTTGTTTTTATGAACTCACTTCCGGACTACATGGGTCCAAAATTTCACGCTACCAGTCCGTCCGAAATTTAAACAAGACGTGAGACAAAATGTAACGTTGGACAAGCTTATTAATCCCCTCAGCATACAACTCCTCATAGATGAACGATATTTCTGGGTAACTCAATGATCCGATAAGAAAGCCCCCTAGAACGCTTGTGATGCAATTTCACAAAAAGTAGCTGAAATAAAACTAATACCACGCTGATGTCCACATTGTGGTGCATCTTTGGTGATCTTATAAAAAAAGAACCTTTAGCTAAGAATTGTGGCTGTCTGATGTTACAAAATCCTGATTGCACTTTGACACCGAGTGGTTGCTGCAGCGATGTACCGGCATGGAATTTTAAACCTGTTTGGTGGTGAGGTGGGTTCACAAAAAAACAACTTTTCTGCCATTTTACTGAACAAAATTTAAAATACTATAGCTCGTTAAAAAGCTGACATTATGACCAACAAGCGGATTCTTACGGATTTTAATTTTATGCAGTAGTGTAGAAGTTTCGGCAAAAAGATACTTACTTTAGGAAGTCTCTTCTATTTAAAATCTGCCTCTTCTTTAATTTTTTTGAAAATTACCACTCCTAGACTTCTGGGAGAAGTATAGCGGTTTTGCGTTCAAGTTTGTTCTACTATTTCACCTCATTGACGATGAGCCTTGACCGACTCAGAGAACTGACCCTGATAGTTGCAGGAAAGAGGTGATGAACAAAAATGTTTTAACTGCAAGCAAATCTTTCAACGTCAGAAGCTTCAAGTATCTAAATTTTTTCTTTCTAGCATTTACTTTGGATTCACATACCATTCATATTTACTTAGCATTTACACTGAAGGTTTCATTCACCGTTGTAACATTTTTCTTCATCAACTTGTTCCTGCAACAGTTCCATTGTTCCGACCAAGTCTAAACCAACCTTGTGATAAGAAATGTGTTATCTACGGTGCAAATTTTAATTCCTAACCCTAGCTTCCCCCTCAAGAATGGGAAATATTAATACTGTGAGTAATTTCCACAATAATATTAATAAGATGTCTTACCCAGACATGATGGCTTCTGTGGAGGAATCGATGCAGGTGCTGGAGGTGCTGGTTGCAGTGGAGGTTGCTGTGGAGGTTGTGGAGCAATTATTTCGGTGGGCGGTCCTACATGCCCACGGCCCCAGCTTGTCCTCCCCCGACGCATTGAAATGTCTGAAAGAGGGAATCCAATAGTTGATCAAAAGATGAATTTTCATAAATAGTTTAAAACAATAAAAGGACTTAGGACGACCAGAAATAACTTCCCAATACTGCCTATTTTTCCTGCAGTGAACGACTAATACACTTTCATGTTCTTTACGAAGTTGGAGGCAACTGGAAAATTATCTACTTTAAATAACATAACCTTTCAACTAATTATTTACTTGCTTAGGCCACTAATTACTATCAGATGATTGTTAATGATGACAACCCAGAATTATCCTCTTCTTCATCAGAATTGAAGGATGTACAGTTCAAGCATTTTTTACAACCTTCCTTTTCTAAGAAATCCTCAGAAATATCGCGATCCCAAAGTCAACCACAAATTGGGTACTTCCTTGAGAGAGAATATTTTGAAGGAGTGACTATACATTCCGTCTCAATTTGTGTCAACCTCATTTCCCCCTTCATGCTTTTCTATTAGTTACTGCCTTTCCACTGAAGCGCACCCCTTTGTGCCAAAAAAAAAAAAACTGCAAAATACACCATGTGATTGGAAATATGAGTTTCTTTCAGTTACTCCCTCATTCATAATCTAGAAAACTAAAATTTAATTTAAGTGCTGATGGGGCAAAAGTTTGTGCAGATTTTTTTCTTCATACTGAAGTCACTTAGCCATTAATGACTGACATCTATGATGTTCTAAAGGTGGAACTGCTTTTCAGTCTTGTCAATCTATAAACTGTCCTGTAATAATCCTGTAATTAATTCAATAATCCTGTGAAAAGATGCGATTAATCAGAAAAAAATCAGAAAAATTATTCTTCTTGTTCCATCTGTAATTTTAGGAAACAGATTATCATGATTTATAGAATTAAATAAAGACGTAATTTACTTATCTATCACAGAAAAATTGATTCCACCAATAATAATCTTTATCACAACAGCTACAATACAAGCTAGTGGAGAATCTAAAATAAATAAACCCAATACAATTATTAAACAAATGTTAACATACAGGGTGTTTCAGACCACCCGTACCAGGCCTTTTTCTCGGTTGGTTTAGGTCGTACGAAGTCGGAGACCGCGGGATTGAATAGGAAATTGACCCCAAGGAATCCGAATTCTGTGGTCCCGAAACCCCCCCACCCTTCCTTGGGGGGTAAAGGGGGGGTCACGATGCTAAAAGTCACGGTTCCCGACCGAATTGCGGATCGATCGCATCAGAATTGAAAAGCACGGAAAATTTCACGTGGAATTGACCCCTAAAAATCCAAAATCGGACCATCCAAGGCCCAAAAATGATCCCCTAAAGAGGGGGACAGTACCCCCCTCCATAATTTCTCTTTGGTCTCAAAATTGACGTAAATTCTCCAGAAAAAGACGGTTTCCCAGGTAATCGACCTCGAGAAATCCAAATTTCATGGTCCCGAAGCTCCTCTAGCCCCCCTTGGGGGGTAAACGGGGGGGCCCAATTTTAAAAATCGGGGCTCCTTTCCGAATCGCAAATTGATTGCATCCAAATTGAGGAGCAGAACACATTTACATCTTAAGTGACTCCTAAGAGTTCTAATTGACCCCCCTGAACGGCAGAAAGTAATCCCCTGAGGAAGGGGGCCTCGCCCCCGCCAAAAATTTCTCAGGATTCCTCTTTGGTCGCAAAATTGACGTCGATTCTCCATAAAAAGACGGTCTCCCATGTAATCGACCCCGAGGAGCTCAGGGAACATGAAATTTAGAGTCCTCGGGGTCGATTACATGGGAAACTGTCTTTTTCTGGAGAATCGAAGTCAATTTTGCGACCAAAGAGGAATCCTGAGAAATTTTTGGCGGGGGCGTGGCCCCCTTCCTCAGGGTATTACTTTCTGCCGTTCAGGGGGATCTATTAGAACTCTTAGGAGTCACTTAAGATGTAAATGTGTTCTGCTCCTCAATTTGGATGCAATTGACGTCGATTCTCCATAAAAAGACGGTCTCCCATGTAATCGACCCCGAGGAGCTCAGGGAACATGAAATTTAGAGTCCTCGGGGTCGATTACATGGGAAACTGTCTTTTTCTGGAGAATCGAAGTCAATTTTGCGACTAAAGAGGAATCCTGAGAAATTTTTGGCGGGGGCGAGGCCCCCTTCCTCAGGGGATTACTTTCTGCCGTTCAGGGGGGTCTATTAGAACTCTTAGGAGTCACTTAAGATGTAAATGTGTTCTGCTCCTCAATTTGGATGCAATCAATTTGCGATTCGGAAGGGAGCCCCGATTTTTAAAATTTGGCCCCCCCGTTTATCCCCCAAAGGGGACTGGAGGAGCTTCGGGACCACGAAATTTGGATTTCTCGAGGTCGATTACCTGGGAAACCGTCTTTTTCTGGAGAATTTACGTCAATTTTGAGACCAAAGAGAAATTATGGAGGGGGGTACTGTCCCCCTCTTTAGGGGATCATTTTTGGGCCTTGGATGGTCCGATTTTGGATTTTTAGGGGTCAATTCCACGTGAAATTTTCCGTGCTTTTCAATTCTGATGCGATCGATCCGCAATTCGGTCGGGAACCGTGACTTTTAGCATCGTGACCCCCCTATACCCCCAAGGGGGGTGGGGGGGTTTCGGGACCACAAAATTCGGATTCCTTGGGGTCAATTCCCTATTCAATCCCGCGGTCTCCGACTTCGTACGACCTAAACCAACCGAGAAAAAGGCCTGGTACGGGTGGTCTGAAACACCCTGTATATGTGATTTATAAAAAAATTATACTTAATAGGTAAGATAATATTTGTAGCCCAAAAAGTTGACGTATTAAAAACTACAGAAAAAGGAATAGTATTCAACAAAGAGAACATAGGTGCAGGAACATAGGAACATTTCAACATAGGTTCATTCATAGAGTTGCAGTGTGACATCTTGTCAATGATACATAGGCAGTATGTTCTGGCCTTAACAGATGCTAATTTGTGTAATTTAAGGCTGCTTCTGCTTTCTTGAGCAATAAATGGAGAGAGAACATTACTAGTGCTACTGTCTCAAAGTTTAAAACCCATTTTTGGCACTTGGCACCAGGAAACGCTGGTTGTCCTCTTTGAGTCAGTGGGTTTTCTGCCTCAGAAGAATCATAAATCATTGACCCATTATCGGAAGTGATTTTATCAATTAGTTTAGTAAAAAAAGGGATTCCCAGTTTTAAACTTGAAGATAAATAATTTACTAATTCAATATACCCTCTTTGTAATTATTTTCCTCCAACACATCTTGGAGACTGATTTCTTTCCAGAATTTGTTTCATATGCTGACTAAGCAAAACCAAGAAACATTGGAGGAGGTATAGGGTGGTTGTCATTGAGAAAAAGAAAACCAATTCCTCAACTTTTGGAAAATGGTACGTCGCTGAAAACTCATCGTTTTGCCTTCAGAAAGGAGGGAGGGAGTACCGTTTTGAAAGTGATTGGATAAAATATGTTTCTTCATCTTTAAGTTCCTTTAAAATTATTTAATTAATTAGATACAATTTCCAAGCTGTAGCAACTTTTCAATGGGGGAAGAATGCAATTTCTCAATTTTTAAATTTCCCTGTTGGTTATTGCAAGGTATCTACTGCACCACTTACATTAATTTGCCCAAAATTTGTTTTGGGTTCACATCACTCCTGAAGCATCACATGGAAGGGAGGGGGAGGGGGTGTCATCCACTTGATTTTCAAAAAGGAAAAAAATAAGAAACATCCTACTTCATATACACAACAGCCGTTATTTCCTTGAGAGGCAACTGAAACTGTTTTCTTGTGTGCTGTTTAAGGGGGCAGTTGGTCATGTTCAATAGTTGGACGATGACATTTCCACACGGATCTACGGATAGTTTCTAGTGTTCATCTTCACTCAACAATAAAAGGGAATAATGACAAAGATACGTACCCTGCCTTGGCGAAACGATGTCCGCGTACGATTCTAGGATTTGAATCGCTTGCTCGACTGATCCTCCTGGGAACAAAAATATTCTTTACTTACGGGCGGAAAAGTTATATTATTTACTACCTTCATTTTAACTGGATTGTGGTAAAGTTCCGCTAAAGGGCTCATTCAACTTTTCAATTTTTTGCCGTTTTTGACTATTTTTTTGTCACTCTTTCTCGATAATTATGCAACAGAGGAGAATATTACAGTACATCTTTTCAAAAATGCACGCTGTTTGTAGGTTAACTCAAGTTTTACGTGAGAAAATTTGAAAGAATCTCCTAAAAACTGGCCAAAAATGGTGACAATGGACCAAAATACCCCTCACATTTCACTGGACATCATTTAATTTTAAAGGCAAAATATGGAGCGTCCCAAAAAATACATCCGTGTCACCTCTCAACGGAGTGATAATAATTGAAAAAGTGTAAGAAAATAAATTCGTGTTTTTCCAAGAATTGGGTTTTAGGGACTGCTGCTTCCTTCTATTGGCTCTGCTCAGTGAAATATTTGGTGTGCAGTCTACCTGGGCCTATAACTGTGGAAATGAGAATTGTGTAGCAAAACCCAGGCGCAGGCAGGAAATGTCCTTAACGCTACGCATTATACAAATCTGCAGTTGTCCCCGAATAAGATAATCGTTCAGAAGGCTATCTTTTTCTTCTATTGGCTTATTGACTTATATTCCTTATGTGAAACCTACAGCCATCTATACACAAAATTTCATACTTGATATTATAAGAAATGTAGGGGTAAGGAAATGTTTTATAGATAGAGTAATTTGTTTGTTGAAGCCGTCACCATTTTCACGCCTAGAGACCCTTCTAGGCGACTTCCTATACCGGGATATACTGGGTCATGGAAAACATTCAAAGTGAACATACAGAAGATTTAGGATTTATATTCTTTCTCTTTTTTTTTTTAAGATTTTGGAAGATTAGGATATTGACTACTAGCCTTTGGAAGTGGATATCGGACGGTTTTATTAAAGAATATGACTAAGAAATAAAAATTGTTAAAGTCTTCCTGTAAATAGTTAAAAACATTCCTAAAGCAGCCACCACCCGCAGCGAACCAGGTGGTATTTACTCCTAAAAAATAACTAATACAGTCGGATATAGCTTATGATTCTAAGTATTTTTTTTTTCTTAAAAAGATTTATATTATTGACTTTTAAAAAATTAGCAATGATTTAATATATCTTGGGATCTGGGGTGTGAAGTATATATGGGACGTTGAATGGAGGAAATTAGTTATTTTCAATTAGATTTTGAATCATCATATCTCGATTTATTAGATTTTGACATTCAAATTATAAGTCGTTTAGGTCACCATAGTCTACATTCGCATAATTCTGAGTCTTTCAGATTTAAGTTCTTTAAATGAACTGGGAAGTTTCCATGTCCTATTCGAAGTCTAATTAAGTTTTTTATTTCACTATGATTCCATTTTAGTTCATCAAACCAAGGTTTTTGATTAATTTTTGGGCAAATTGATTTTTTCGTAAGGCTATCAATTACCGATTTTGAAAATAAATTTTAGATGTTTTTTCTCTAAATCTCCGATTTTCCATTCTCCTACATACTGCTTTAGACAATAGTTCAAAAGATTGCTAATGCACCATCCCAATAACCAACCAATAATATGCCTCAAGGCATGGAAACGGAAAAATGAAATAAAAAGATCCATCGATGAGTATGAGAGCTTCACATAATAATAACCGTTTTTGTCATGTTTCCTGCTGTTTTCATGTCGAAAATAATTTTCTTACAATTTAAATAAATATCCTTACTCGAAACATGCTGAACTGGGTAATCTGTTGCAGCCTCCATTGTGTGGTGGGAAAATTCTCTCAAGTTCAGGCGGTAATGAAGAGAATATCCCACATTACATTGAGAGCCCACCTCCGTATCTTTTCTAACACTCCATGCACAGAGAGAAATCAAATACATTAGCAGGGTTGCCGTGGTTCCAATCTTGGACTCCCCGAACAAAATGGCAACCCTGCGAATGTACTTGCTTCCTCTCTTTGCATGCATGGTGAGTTTGACCAGATATAAAGGTGGATTCTCACCGTAACATGAGACATCACCTCCATTACAGCCTTAACTTTACAGCTTTTGTACGCTTATGAATTTATTTCAGAGAAAGCAAGTTACACCACCCTGTTCTCCGCAAAATTTAACACAAGGGGAAGCCTTTAAATAAGAACTGCCTGACACATGCAAGAATTCCTTTACATTACGATCCCCTAAAGGGGAACATTCAGGATCTGTTAGATCACTTCCTCATACTGTACTTTGCTAAGTTGCAGAAACTGCACCCTCTGAAGTTTCATGAAAAGGATTGCTGCCCTTCTACTAAATAAAATTCCTCAATGTTAACAGAAAGCTGTGTAGAAACAACTTATTCTTCATGATAACGACATAGAAAATATTACCAGCATGGAGAGCAGCGGACAGAACGTAGTTTGGCGGGGTGGTGCTCCGTTGACCAATTGCAGATCTGATGAGTGTAATCGCATGGGCATGGCGGCCCATTCTTGGGTTGACCTGGAAACAATCAAGAAATAACGACAGATGAAAACAAATGAACAAATAAAACATAGAACAGAAAGTCACCGGGGTTGATTCTGGAGGAAGAGGTTGTTCCTAAAATCACATTTTGTCTCCTCCCCTCCCCCATCTTACCTTAACTGTTGTCCCTGGTGCTTTGGAAAAATTTCAGCCTCTACAGATAGTTACAGACTTCAGGAGGAAGTCAAATTATCCTACTTACAAAAATTAAAAAAATTGTATCTCTGCCATGGCTTGTATGTTAGTGTCGCACCTTGCGTTCACAAATGTTGAGAAATATTCTCTAAAAATTGCTGAGGTGCTTTGGTAATTCCATAATTTATTACAAGGCATTATCTTATTTTTGATACTGAACGTCGATTTTGTACCATTTTAACTATTCTCCTCTGGCTAAATCGTTGCTGATAGAATCAACCAACTTTGCAAAAGTTCTAGGAACAAATGAGTATATCTGCTGATACGGATTCCACTTCACCTCAGTTTGGGAAATTTGAAGAATAGACCGTGGGTGTGTAGGTTTGAAAGTTAATCTAGATGAGTTTTCGACAATAAAAGGGAGAAAAATGACAAAATAGCTTAGAGAATCCAATGAAAACTTCACAAAACTTCTCTGATATGATTAACTTAATTTTCAGATACTGTATGGGAAAAAAATTCGAAACTACTCCTACTTTTCTGAACGATTTGGGTTTCCTGCAATTTACAGTAATTTGAGGGTAGATCTGTTTAAAGTGCTTAACATTAAGGTGAATCCAGGCTTGGAACTTCACGATTTAGCCACCACGTCGCGCTGCTCAGAATAACTGCATATATTTGCCAAAATAATAAAAACCGTAATACTTATTCAAGATAGGATGCTCAGAATAGCTGCATATATTTGCCAAAATAATAAAAACCGTAATACTTATTCAAGATAGGAGATCCAGGGGATATGGCAACATACGTGAGAAACACTCAGTAGGAAAATCTTCTCAAAATTCCCATAAATAAAGTCTTAACTACGGCGGAAAGTAATTCCCATCGGCAATGGGAGAGAGAGAGACAGAACATGAGAGATTCCGTTGCGCGCTCGGCCACCACCTCTGACCTGAAAGTTTCAGCTGTACTTTCTCTGCGCTTGTAATTCTAGTAGCCAATATTTTTGGCTCAAAAAATCAAGCAAAAATTAATCTATATCTTGTGAATCTGCTTTTTGTAATTCGAGAAATATTATTTCAGTTATCGTCGAAGGAAAGTGAAATTCTCAGTGGGGACTGGTGGCGCTATCTCTAATCTTGAATTATCCCTAATCAAACCCTGGATTCACCTTAATTGATGATATTCATTAAATCCAACCTCCTTCCTCCTCCAAGGAAAAAGTTGGAAAATTTCAAATTTCAAAAATCATTTCCTAATGAGTAAGTATCAATAAATTTGAAATCCCAATTAATCTCAAATTTAGAATTACAAATTTAGAGA